CACTGTCTCATCAACTAGCACACATAGGCACACCTTGCCTATTATCTGGTTATCAGATACTAAACTGGTTTTCACTGCTGCACCCAGTGTTTTGTAAGACTTTCACTTCCTTTTCCCCGATATAGTCTCTACCTATGGTCATGTTATGATATTTTGACACCTCTTTAAGTTTTTCACATGCTCCAATCACTACTGGCACTGTTGATTCATTTGCTAACTTCAGCTGGCCATCAGTTGTGCACTGATTAATCATGGAAGAAGCACTTCCTTTTTGTGGTGAATCTGACGAGTTGTGTTGATTCTGTTTCTTCTAGCAGCAGGATCTATGGTGACAGTCAGTCTTTTCTTACCAGCACCATCTTTGTAAGTAGCTCCAACTGCTTTATGTTGATATTTCTGCTGTTGCTTGTTGGTGATGGACTTGCACTCACTTGCAACTTGCCCCATTTCATAACAAGCATAGCATCTCTACGTGAGCTTCTATATACTGTTCTGCCAGCTTGATCATCTCCTCCACATCTTTTGGTGCTCTCTCCTTTAGGAACAGTGACATGTCAGTTGAGCACATGATTATGAACTGTTTACATATTAGTAGATCTGCCAGTCCCTCAAAACTATTTTCACATATGGCCATGTTAGTCCATCTTGTAAAGCATCACTATAGACATGCCATAAACTGAAATACAATTTCTCCACTGTCAGGTTTGACTTCTCTGAACTTTCGATGACAACCTTCCTCAGTAAGTTCATAGAATTTCAGTAAGGCCAGTTTTAACTTGTCATAGTCCATGGCATCTTCTGATGTCATGCCTGCATACAATTGTAGGCCTTTTCTTGTGAGAAGTGAGCTGAGACAGACTGCTCAGTCACCTTTGCCCCAGTTCTGACTTTGGGTGAATCTTTCATATCTCTACAGGAAAGCATCCATGTCATCTTTCTGTTCATCAAATTTGGGCAGCTTGGGTTGGCTGGCCCTGACCCCATTGTCATTCTTGGGTCCTTCATCTTCCTGTTGGGTGAGCATGGTGATCTCAATTTGTGCTCTTATTCTCTGTATTTCCAATCTCTTCTCTCTCTTCTTTTCTTTTTTCTCAATTTGTACTTTTATTCTCTCTCTTTCAAGTCTCTCCTTTCTCTCATTTTCTTGTTTTAGTTTTTCATCCTCTCTTCTCTCTCTACTTCTTGTTGTTGTTTAACAAACTCTCATAGTTCGCCATCTTTGAGCTGAAGATGCTCACCTATTTCTACCCATTTATCAAAATCTGTTGATATGGTTACATCACATTGACAAGTAGGACTGACAATGGCACTTCTTCTGTAATGCTTATTTTACGTTATTGTTTTATAGTGCTGAGTTAATTGCCTATTAACAATTAATGTAACTAATAGTATTAGAGCTAGTTATTCATTTATATATATACATGCATGATGATTGAAAATAAAACCTTTTTTATTACTTCTTATATTTCTTTACTTATAGTAAAAAAATTAAAAATTTAGCACCAAAACACTTGAGAATAAGTTTTATGTATTAAGATAAGTTGAACAAACTCTGTACAAAGTATCTGCCTTATATTTAAGTTTGTTGTGTTAATTTTTGTTTTCTATTAGATTAGCAGGATCCGACCTCCATCCTTCTATCATCGGACTTGGTCTGCAGATTTCTCAGGGTGTTGTCCGTGGTTCTAATGCTCGCTGTGTTGCTTTATTGACTGCTTTAAAAGAAGTAGGGAGAAAAATTATTTATTTTCATTCTTCTGATATTTTCATGGGTTAATCTAGATTAGGTTTAAGTAATGATATAAAATAATGAAATATTAGTAGTGCAGAATTGCCAAAAATTTCATTTTATTATTAATAGTGTGATATAAACTCAAATTTTGTAGCTTTTTTTTTATGCTATTTTACTTAGGTTGCATAATGGGACATGGATTTCATTTAAGTACCATAGAACTGAATTGATACTATTTTCCCAAAGAAACAAAAGATTATCTTTCTTGTACTATATTTTGATTTTCCCTCAAATTGTTCTCATTATAAACCCTGAAATACTGTGTTTAGTATCAAGCACAGCACTGATTTGATTGCTTTATGCATGGAGTTGTTGTTTTTGTTGAACAAAGTTCCACAATGATAATTTTTTTATTATACAGAGGTTGGACAAAATAATGGAAACACCTTGGAAAATCAACAAAATATATTTTG